ACCTACACACCTACCCACGCTACAGGATCGTTATCACAGTTGTGATAAATAATATTATTTATATTATAATATTTATACTATATATGCATATAAATATGTTTAAATGTATACATGCACATGCGCACACTTACAAATATGGATATACACATACCTTTGATATATACCCTCAAATATCAATACATACATTTACATATATAGACACTGAAATACTGTTTGGTTCTTCTTTTTGGAAGAAGTGTTGTTTTTTCTGTTATTTTTAACTGGAATATGTTTGAATGTAGCAGTAGATCTGCTGGATCTTGTTTTGTTTTTTTTGTTTGTTTTTAAAAGTCAAATTTTGCAGATTAGTGACTTCTCATGTTTTTTGTTTTGTGCCTCTGCACAGTCGTTGCCTAGCAGGTACATTTCAGTTGTGACAACAAAAAAAACCCGGAGAGGACAGACTTTGACAGTAGCCGTTATCTCATGACACTAACATCACATTCATTCACGCGGGCACCATCACCTCGTGTTACAGCGTTCCCCAATTGAGGAAGTGTGCAGGTATGAAGCTGTGTCGTACATGCAAGCTGGGCACACACGCACACACCGACTGCCCAAAAGGTGAAACTCCCCACCCATCCCTGCATAAACCCACACACATACACAAACACAGCAACCTCCAATATTCAGGTCTGTTAACAAACACATTTGTTTACCAAATCGGCTGTGCATCATGTGATCTCAATGAGAAAATTACGAGCTTTTGCTGTAAGAGCTGAAGAGTAACATGGCAGAAAGGGACTCTGTGTGTGTGTGTGTGTGTGTGTGTGTGGTTTGCATACCTTTTAATAAGAACGAGTAAAGTATGTTTTAGTGAAATATAAGTTAATCGAAAGACCTTTTAGATGGAGAGCTTGAGTCCAAATACACACCGAGTCTCTGAGTTATTAAGCGTGCATCTGATCCTGTCACTCAGGAAAGGTTTCAGGGTGAAAAAGTGCACCGTTCTTGTTGAATTTATTATTGGAAGTTAGGAGGGCTTTTGTTTTATTTATTTTTCCATCTGACCAAAGGAAGGTCATTTTTCAGAAGCAAATTAAGCAAGGTTGACTAAAATATTTTATTCAACCAAGTGAAACTAAAGCTATGAATGATATGTTGAATTTTATTTCGGGCAATTTGTGATATTTAAACTTCCTATTCTCGGATATTGGCGAGTGTCCCTTTGGCAGTCAAATATACATTCAAATCGTTCAGCTTGCGTCCCTGCGTGGACAAGCTGGGTATTGAGAGTTGTCACAGAACTTGTTTTTATTTCTTTCAACTTATCTCTTAGTAAAAAGCCGGTCATAAAAAGACAGATGGGTCTTTAATGTAGCTGCCAAGCAGCTGCCAGCTGGCATACAGTATGCAACACCTGTGCAACATCACACGTAATAATTCAAATTTGGGTCTTTTTTAATGTAAATATCATAAATATTGAGTTGCAGTAATAACTCACCAGGATGCAGCTCAGTAATATTTTAAAGTATATATAAACTTTATGCTCTTGCAGAAGGGGCATGGATGCATGACACTGGGCAGGGGTACATTTTACTGTATCGTAGACAACTTCAAGTTTAAAATTGTCACTGTAAGGAGGGATAGAGACTCCCATGACGTTTTTCGTTTGTGTCTTTGCAGCAGAGAGCTAAATTTGCTTGCTTGCAGTGGCCATAATATCTTCTCTTGGGATAAATGAAGAGTAGAAAATTAGGCTCGTCTTTTATCTTTAACCTGGACCAAATACCACCAGCAAGCTCTGATCAGCTGACCTCAAAGATCTCGTATTTGCATATGAATGTTGTAATTTACTAATACATGGAGGCAACTGACCATAGTAAACTGGAAATAAACCAGTCCATTTCCAATTTAATTAGCACAATTAAAGGCCAAACATCTAGCTAGCACTGACCACACACAACAACTCAAGGTTCAGTATCTTTCTCCAGGATAGTTTGGCATGCAGAGCGGAGCAGCCGCGGATCAAAATGACCTGCTCTAGCTCTTGAGGCACAGCCTCTCTGTTAAATGGTTCAGACCCAAAGTGATCACTAAAATTTTGGAAGTCAGCGTAAAGAAGAAAGAATCGGTGTCACATGGGACCTTTTAAGGACCTGTTGAGCAGCCTCACAGCCACATTCTGGACCGTTTGCAGGGCTTCTGGGGTTGATTTGCTCAGGCAAAGGAACACAGACAAATAATTATAGATGCATGACAAAATAAAACATCCCTCCACCACTCAAAGTATTATACTATAGGGTAATTGAATTTATCTAGTAAGTGTGTGCATATCAATACGTTTAATAAAACATTATCTATGTAGCTCTCAGCAGCACACATATGAGCTCCATATCAACCTGCACATAAGTGATGCTTACACATTTCAGTATTTATACTATAATGATATAATCTGCTTGTACAATAAGTACTCTAATTTTCTTATACTTAACATTTATTTTCTTCCTCTTTATAGCTGTAGTTAGACTAATGTTATTACTGGTGGTTTTGATACTTAAATACTTCTAGGTACTATGAGAACCTTTTGTCTGGCATCAAAATCAAGACAATGAAAGCAGTCGTAACTGACTCATCAGCATGATTTCTTTAAAATTCAGAAACATGACAATTAAAATGGTCAAATCCTGCACCGATGAGCACTGCTGAGAAACAGGCTGTCACGTGAATGCAGATTTTTAAAAACAGACCTTAGACATAAAACTGCATTCCCGTCTGCTCACGCAGCCAGCAGATGTTTACTTTGGTTTGATTTGCAGAATGTTAATTTGCAACGAGGCAAAAAATTGTAGACCAAATAAATCTATTATTGAGTTTAATCCTCAATGTGTCTCACAGGCACTGGAGAGAGTGGAAAGAGCACCTTTATCAAACAAATGAGGATTATCCATGGAGGAGGATATACAGACGAGGACAAGAGGAGCTATGCCAAGCTGGTGTACCAGAACATCTACACGTCCATGCAGACAATGGTCCGAGCTATGGAGGCTCTTGGTATATCTTTCACTGATCCCCAGAACCAGGTACAGGCAGACTGACTCTGTTCCAGTCCTTTACAATAAAGACTTGATGGATGGTTACCTCATTGTTACCTCATTGTTACCTCACTGTCTTTTTGTCTTCTCGGTGTCTCCATAGAGCCATGCCAGCGCAGTCCTGGAGGTGGAGGTGGATAAGGTGAAGGACTTAGATAGCAACCTCGCCATGGCTGTCAAGAGTCTGTGGGGTGATCCTGGAATACAGGAGTGCTATGATCGGCGCAGGGAGTACCAGCTGTCCGACTCCACCAAATAGTGAGAATTAGGCATTTATGATCTTTAACAGTGTGCGCAGATCTCTGTACTTTTCTAGATCAAATTTGGTTTACATTTTAAGTTTTCTACATGTTTTCTGTATTTCTCCTTTCTTAGTGTTTTTTTTTTCTCCCTGCATATTTTTCTTTTTAGCTATCTCACAGATCTGGATCGGATTACACAGCCCTCATACATACCTGACCTTGACGACATCCTCAGAGTCCGAGTCCCAACCACTGGTATCATTGAATACCCCTTTGACATGTGGTCTAAGGATCAGAATGTCATTTTCAGGTGAGGTGCATATTGACATCTTCTGCACTGCACAGAGTTTCATTTCAATTCAGTTCAGTTGAGTTTATATAGCATCAAATGACAAACAGCAGTCACCTCAAGGTGCTTTATATCTTAAGGTAAAGACCTTACAGTAATGCAGAGAAAGTGCCAACAATTAAACAACTCCCTTTGAAAAAGCACTTGGTGACAGTAGCAAGGAAAACCTCCCTTGTAACAGGAAGAAAACTCTAACAGAATCAGATTCTGGGAGGGGCGGCCATCTGCTGCAACTGTTCGGGGATAAGGTGAGGGTGACAGGACAAACAACACACTGTGTAAGAGAGCCAGAGATTAATAATAGCTAATGATTAAAGAGTGATGTGTAAAAGGTGAGTGAAGAAGAAACACTCAGTGCTTCATGGGAAGCCCTTAGCAGCCTAGACCTATTGTAGCATAACTAACAGATCACCTGATCTAATCCTAACTATATGCTTTATCAAAACGCAAAGTTTTAAATCTAATCTTAAAAGTAGAGAGGCTGTCTGTATCCCAAATCCAAACTGGGAGCTGGTTCCACAGAAGAGGGGCCTGAAAGCTGAAGGCTCTGCCTCCATTTCTACTTTGAAATACTCTATGAACCAAAATAATAGCAGCAGCACTGGAACTGGCCACAGGCATGGCACCGACCTCGAAGGTGGCGTGACTTTTCTTGGCTGCTTTTATGACAGGATGGTTGATGTGGGTGGTCAAAGATCAGAGCGGAGAAAGTGGATCCACTGCTTTGAGAACGTCACCTCCATCATTTTCTTGGTGGCACTCAGCGAATACGATCAGGTCCTGGCTGAGTGCGACAATGAGGTGAGAATTTAACGACACAGCAAATGATGATTTCAGTTTACATCCTCCTGGAGTTTTACATGTGCTTGATCCCTTTAAACATCTCAGAACCGCATGGAGGAGAGCAAGGCCCTGTTCAAGACCATCATCACCTACCCCTGGTTCCAGCGCTCATCTGTCATACTTTTCCTCAACAAGACCGACATCCTCAAGGAGAAGATCTTGTACTCTCACATATCCACCTACTTCCCTGAATTCACAGGTTAGACTGAGTGAATGCTCATCTTGATTTCAGCTCTTATTCCACCACAAGATTTGTAATTACTTAGCTGATCTAATTAAGTCCTTCATCATACAATCGCTGCACGGTACTCATTTTTATGGAAGTGTTGAAATAGACTAAAAATACTCAACTGACACTATATTAGGTACACTGTGCTGGTACCAGGTTGAACCTCCTTTACCATCAGAATTAGTTTAATTCTTCATGGCTGAGATTTAAAAGGGAGCTGAAAACATTCAGCAGGAATTTTGGTCCACATTGGCAATCATTAGTCTAACCATGTGTGGTCTTCTGCTGCTGTAGACCATCTGCTTCAGAAGATGCTCTTCTGCATACCTTGGTTGAAATGAGTAGTTAATTACCATTAGTTACTATATCATCGTGTCTGGTCATTCTCCTCTGACCTCTGTGAGGACTGCTACTCACAGATCATCTTTCACTTTCAGACTATTCACTGTAAACACTACAGATGGTTGTGTCTCAGTAAATTTGAAATACTCAGACCAGCCTGTTTGGTACCAACATTTAAAGTCACTTAAATCACTTTTCTTCCCCATTCTGATGCTCAGTTTGAACTTCAGCAGGTCGTAAAATGCATCGAGTTCCTGTCATGTAATTGGCAGATTAGATATTTGCATTAACAAGCAGTTGAACAAGTCTACCCAATCAAGTGTCTGGTGAGCGTATGTTGAATTTACTGACATATTTAAATAATATCAACTCTGAATTGCAGGACCTCAGCAGGATCAAGTAGCAGCTCAAGAATTCATCCTAAAAATGTACCAAGAACAAAACCCGGAGAAGGACAAGACGTTGTATTCTCACTTCACCTGCGCCACGGACACAGAAAACATCCGCTTTGTCTTCGTGGCCGTCAAAGACACCATCCTCAGGCACAACCTCAAGGAGTTCAACCTGGTGTAGAAAGGTTGCATACAGCACAGGAGCAAATGCATACAAGAGAAGACTTGAGGAAAGCCAAAATAGAAAAGAATCTAATTATCAATCAAGCTTAAACCAAAAAAAAGAAATTTGAAATTGTTTCATTTCTAACAAGGGAGATCCAAAAAAGAGAGAATACAAACATCCTGTACCAGACATACTAACATGAAATTGTGTTTAGATGCTTTAGTTTCCCTTGTAGTTTTTTAGTATTTGCTGTAAATGATACTTTACAGTGGAAATGAGAAAGTGAAAATTAGTAGCAAGTAACTGACCCGTTGTGTGAACTACTTATTTAAATAGACATATGATCTGAGTGCTTTAATGTATGTAAATGTATCCCCATGTAATAGTTTGACAAGGATGCTCTTTAGCCCGGTTTTGTGATTTCATAATGTTTAGAAATGGTTGCTCTAACACTGAGACGCATGTAAGTGCCTTATTTACTCAGGACAGTCAGCAGAGCCACGGAGTTCATAGAGTGTCAGATGTAAATAGTCTGAGATGTGCTTTGAGAAAAAAAATACAACTGTTTCTTCTATTTATGGTTATTTTCAATAAAGAGATATAATTATTTAATAAAGAGTACAAGTCAGGTGCCTGATGTTTTCTTGGTGCGAGAAATAAATGAAGACCGCTTTGAATTCAAAAAACTTTATTGAAAACAGCATGAAAATGCTCCCCGAAAACAAAACGATGTAAATGAAATTGAGTGATATTATATCGTGATGCGCCCAAGACCAAAATCAAATCTTTGAAATATACATCAGAGTAAACAGCAGCTGATAATAATAATTAGCATTCCTTTATTTTCAATATATACCTTTTCTCTGTATAATTCATCAGCATGTTTGGCATTGCATATGTGTGGTATAAAAACATAAAAATCACAAAATTTCATACTGCAAGCTCCTCATAAAGTCTGATGCCAGGATGGATATATACAGATAGACATCATATTAGGTCATATACAGCAAACTGATGCATGTAAGTACAGTATAAAAATAGCATGCATCTCTGACTCACACACTCAACAGTCTTTATTCTGCAATGTATAAAAAAAAAAAAATAGGAAAAAGAACTTTAAGGATGCACATTTTTTGAATTATGTGTACTATAAAGTCATACTAATTCATATTAGCATGCCTTTTATATAATCCAGTAAAAGAAACAGTGTGCAACATTAAATGTGCTACAACAATTACAGTTAATTTGGCCTCAGTGATACTCGAGGGATTTTTTCCCCCCTACCAGTCACTGTTAAGATTGACATTTCTACACCCAAATCCTCCTTTACATCCAGAAATGAAAGTTAAACTCAATCTCTAAAGCTACGGTAGGCAAAAATGTTTTTGGTGTCATTATGAAAGGGGGGGGGGGGTTGTCAACAATAGCGTTTGTGGGGGAGTGGGAGTCCTCTTCTACCTCTTCTTGGCTCTCTTGGGCAGTGACAAAGAGGTGGAGGGTTAAGAAAGTTTTCACCCGCTAGAGCCGGGGGTATCCACATGAAGCTCAAGGTCAACAAAAATCCTTTTTTAACTGTGCGTAATGTGCAAAATCCTGCGCTCATCTGGTGGGAGAGACTTGAAACAGAGGTACGAGCTGCAGGTGGAGGCCCGCTCATTCTTTTCCCCTTTCAAAGTTCGTCCAACAGCAGCTTTAATGTGTGTTTGATTAGAACAAGTACATCTAAGGAATCACAATCCTCCATTCGTACAATCCTTCAAGCAGGCAATAACAGAACCTGTTCGTAAACTCCAGCCTTAACGTTTTAATAAAGAAAACTATAATAAAAACAAAAAACATGACCAGGTGTAAAATAATGAATGCAAAGCAAAGTGGATGGAAATCAGCAATCTGTCTACATGCACACTGTGTCTTTCAGCCCCGACACACACCGACAGTCCACATCGTTTATTCACTAGTCACACACTGAGGGAAAAAAAGTAGCATGCAGTAAAGAAAAAAAGGCACTGGCACACACAGAGCTCGTGTGTTTAGCGTTTCTCGATCTTCAGAGTCAGTACTTGGGTAAACTCTCTCTTGCATCCTCCAATTTGGTGAGAACCCACTGAAAATAAATAATGACCAAAGTTAGAACTAATTATTTTCACTAGTCGTGTATCCCGACTGAAAGGAAATATCAGCTTGAGTCCAAATTGCAAACTTACTTTGGCTATCTCTGGAGTTTTGAAGTTTATTATCTTCCCAAACTCTTTGGCATGAAAGACTGACTTCACTCTCTCCTGCAGTGGAAGGCGAGGTTCAGTGCAGAAGTAATAATAATAATAATAATGAAAAATTTGGGTAGTAAATAATGGTAACATCTTTGTTGTTTGTTTGTTTTTACCTTGGCCTCAATGCGAAGTCGGCGGTCCTCTATAATGGTTGGATCCTTGGTGAACTCTTCAAACAGATACTGCCACTCACAGGTCAGCTGACCAAAAGTGCCTTTGGTCACAAAAAATATTCCTCTGGGAAAAAAAAAAGATGAGTGTTTAAAAGGAATGAATAAAGAAAAATTTAAACTTCATATTTCAGTTTCTTTATCCCCAAAACAATGATTTCCAGTCATAGGCATTAAAAAAGTAAAGAGACATAAGATGAAGCCAACATGCGAGTGCCTTAAACCTTAATCTGAATGCCACCAGATGGCGATAGCTGTGGTTGTAAAATGACTTTTGGTCCTATCTTTGTGAAAACAGCTTCCTGTCTCGACTGTAAACATTTTCCAGCTCAGTTTGTGGGTCAATCATTCATTTTGGTTTAACTGAATTAAAAAAAAATGGATTTTTGAATAAAACTTCAAAATGTCTTCCCAGACAGTATACAGCTTACTATCTCGTTACATCCATATTTGGCGGGATTTTTGCCTTTTTTTTTTTTTGTGGGGGGGGGGGGGGGGGGGGGGCGGTTTAATTGTTTTGTTTTTTTAAACCAAGACAGCAGCAGTGGAAATGCTGATCTCCAGGATTCAAAACGGAGCTCCACAAAGCAACAGCTGACACCATGCCAGCTACGTCCAAGTTTTATACAGTCTGTGTTACAGTGTGGGCTGCAGCCCCCTGGTGGGCAATGAAGGTACTGTATGTCAGAAGTATGAACTCAAATCTTTACATTACGTAGTTAGAATTGAATTTGAATGTAACGCTGTTAATAGAGAGTCAAGTACAAGAAGTACATCAGAACATTAAAACAAATGAATGAAAACAAAGGAAAGAATTTTCTTCACAGTTGATCTGAAAGTCTTGGTAGAAATACGCAAATACTATATAAATTTTACAAAAATTTTAGCATCCAAACTGATTAGAAAAGAAAAAATTATGCATCATTTGAACCATATCTCAGCTCTTGGTCATTATCTCAAGTAAAACACTTTCTTGAACAGAAGAAAACAAACAAAAAAGGGTAAAGAAAACCCCCCAAAAAAACCACTCACCTCTTGGTGATCATGAGGAAGTCAGATTCATTGACTTTAGCATGAGCAAAGTACCTGTAGCTGGCAAAACGTCCATTCTCAATTTTCTAAAAAAAAGAAAGAGACTAGAAAAATATCTGTCCAAACAACAACATTGAAAAATACGTCACTGTCTGTCAAAAACTGTATATAAAAGTAAAGGAAGCATGAGCTACCACAGCAAAAACAGTGAATCAGTATCTGCACAATAGTTTCCCTGTAACGAGATTGGAACATGTTGTGGGATTCAGATGCAGGACAGGATGAAACAAAGACGATGGCAGGTGGAAGTTTGAAATGCAAAGACTTTATTAAGAACAAAATATCAGTGAAAGGTTCCAAGTAATGACAAAAAAAACATAACAATGAAGGAAAAAAGTGTGATTATGATGACTTAAAGATGAACACTAATAAGTAAACTAATAAGAAAATGCCTGGTCCACAACAATGGCTTTTTAAAAAAAAATGCATAAACATTGCACTGTTAACATGCAGCTCTCAGATGACATTTCAGGATATTTAATTGAGAGACCTTTACAAGTGTTAGGACTGTGTTTTAGTTTGGACAAGAGGACACAGACTTTCAGACTTTAGTTTTCTGATTAGATCATACGAGTCAGCATGTGTGACCTTCACACAAACCTTCTCCAGCAGGAAACAAATGCATCAACCTTAATCATGAATGGTTAGTGGTCATGTGATACGAGGTTTACAGCCAAGTTGGACTTGGCTGAAAAATGGTGGCTGGAGATCATTTTTAGTTTGTTGTTGTGGAGCAGAGAAAAAAACAAAACAAACAAAAAAAGGGTGATGAAAAATAAAAAAAACACACAGTTAACAACAAAATATAAAAAATAATAAAATCTTCTAAACCAGTGACACCAGTAATGAAAGTCCCTACTTTGGTTCACTTTAATCTAACCAAACATGATCTCCAAACTTTGAGACAACCCTCCAGCACAGACTACACACAAAACACCAACTCTACAGCTTTCACTTCTGTCACTGCTAGCTGTTTTCACTCATCTCCCTTATCCTCTGAGCCAGATCTACGCCATTCACTGTACGCCACTTGTCTCTGCGGACATGACAGGAGAAAAGTGTGGAGGGTTAGATCAGACGGAAGGTGCGAATCTTTCTGCTGATAAGGCGACTTCAAGGTGACAGCCAAGGAAAAGTCTGGGTGACAAATCTGCAGTTTCAGACTTTAAAAGTATGGAGAGTAATATGTCTTAAAAGTGTTACAAATGCGTATGGTATGATCTACAACTGTAAACTAAGAAATCACACAGGAAGTAGAGATGTCCTAGTTTTCCAGTGGGACTTGAACACAGTGCAAAGTGCACTAAAGGCTTTGCAGGTAAGTGAAAGGTTTTTTTTATGTAGTTTCAGACATTTGTACGGACAGAAAGTTTTTTAAAAGAGAAAATGATCAGATTTGTGAAGCTGAACTTTAAAAAAAATGTGTCTGTAAATGAAACTAATTTTACTTGAGGCCAAATTACTTTGTATGTGTGTGAACTGAAGCACGCATTTGTGAATCATCGAAAGTTTCACACAATAGAAGTCATTTACAAACAATTTTAAAATATTATATCTGACCTGAAAAGACTAACAAGCATTAAATGCTCTTGGATCTATAAAAATGTAAATGGCTGTAAACTGGATCACAAAGCCCTAATGCAATAGCTTAAATATTGTTTGAGCAGATAAGATAATTATGGTGGACCTAAAAAGATGAAATTTGCCAGACTATCAGTTTAAACAGATCAGAATCCCTCCCAGCTTAGACTGTGATAAGCATTCCCTCTTCTCTCAAAGACACAAGGAAACATTTGGGAACAATCAGGAACACTGTGTTGAAGGCTTTTTAACAAAAGCATAAACATAAAACTGAAGAACCTACTCTGATTTATAGAACTATTACTCTATATGTCCTGGTCCTAATTTAAGCTGAAGGAACAACTCAGTTACTAACACATTACTACACACACGCAAACCTAAGCTGGTGAGACAGAAAGGTGACAAACTGAAGAAAGTCTTGAATGAAGATGAAGTTAGAAACACAACGATGAGACAGTCAACATGGAGCAGACTGGCAATGATGTGAATCATATGACAAGATTTAAAACCCTTTTTTTAGCTTTAAATTTTGCAGAATCTTTATAAAAAAGCACCAATTTGTCCACTGAAGTTATCTGGCCTCTCTTGTAGGCTGCTTTAATTTATCACCTTTCTGTAAATTTTAGGGAAATTAGGATTTTTACTATTAAACAGAATGTGAAACTTCAACCCACTCTATCCAACTCACAGCTAGACAACGTCAACAAAAGGGTAGAAAAATATCAGACCTGAAACACATGTAAGCTGCTCTGAAATGTGAAAATATGGAAAACATGATATATTTGGATTATATGCAGACATTCTGTTGATTTCTGGTGTGAAATACAGCAAATATAATCTTTTTTTTTAATTTCCTGTACCCTTTTATTCTTCCTTGCAGATTACAAGATTTAACCAATGCCGCTTCCTTTTAACCATAACTTAGTGATATAAAAAAAGAGACATTTTTAATTCTATCCATCTGTAGTGTTCACATTTGTAACAAAGTTGCTGATAAAGGTTCCTTCTGAAAACTTGCATGGACATCCTCATATGCATTAATGATGCACATGGACCAGCCTCAGTTTGTAAGCTATTCTGCAGTCTGGCAGCTTAACCATCGTGTTGAACAGATTTGTCTCTTACTTTCCTGGTTGTCAGTCTTGCATTGACCTCTCATTTCTTAATGGCATCTGAACACTGGGAACACGGTAGCTGAAACCTTTCTACCATTAATGAAGTATCACTTAGCATCAATATCGCATCCTCTGCCAGAAGAAGAGTTTTTCACAACACTGATGAATGACTCACTCAAGACATAAAAGTGAATCAAGTGGGAATGAGGGGCTGCTCATTTTTTACCCACTGGATTGTATTGACTTCTTTTTACTTCAAAAATTAAACAAATATGTAATTTGTCCAGAGACTGCCAAACCTATTCCTACAGGAGTAGTAAAACTTCCCCAAACAACAAAGGCAACCATTTAGGGCAGGGGTCAGCAACCTTTAAGACCCAAAGAGCCATTTGGACCCGGTTTCCACGCAAAA